CAATAAAAATGGTAAGGTATCAATATTGCTAACCCCCGCTATCCCATTATAGCACTTATGAGTTTATATTAGGTTCTTAAATKATRGGTACATAATATTAATTATATTCGTTATCTTAGATGAGAATAATTATTTTAATTTTATGAAAAATCCAATTGACCAATTTTTATGAGCTTATATACTTATATACAGGTAAATAATTTTATTATTATAGTTAATATATTTCATCGATGATAAAAATATTGAAAAAGAATTTGATACTGATTACGGTTGTAGTTATATTTTAATACTGTTACGTAAATATATGTACCTCAGTACCTCACAACTTATAATAGCTTATCTGTAAACGCGTATAGGTATAGGTAATAGGTATACATAATACATTGTACATTACAAGTACCTAAATGGCTTAGTTTATACATAGTATACAATACATACTACCTACACTATGATGATATAATAAAAAAATGTATATGGTATATGAAACAGAAATAAACATTTATCAGTTTTCAGTGGTAATAGATATCATATTATGCTATATAGACCCTGGGGTAGGTAGTTTTTTATGAATAAACAAGAGACAAGACTATATAATATAATGCAACATAGTCTATTATATACAATATACGTATGTGTTATATATATATATAGTTACATAATTATATATTATACATGGTACAACGATATTATTAAGTTTAATAAAAATTGTGTGAAGCCAAGTCTGAAAAAAATTAGGTTAATATAATTTTAAAATGTTTTGTTTAGTATAATAATAAGAAAAGCTAAAAATACTTTTAAGCTGCTTGTATAAAAAAATTAATGTCATACCATTCTGCAATATAATGAATTGTGCCTATAAGCTAAAATAAAACCAACTTTTTCAGCTTGTTCATATAAGAGAGTTGAGACTTGAAACTCATGGTACATTGTACAATATTATTACTTATAAGTAGGGACAGTAGGGTTGGAATGTATAATGTTTATGTACTAAAAAAATGAGTGCAGTTTATATAACTAAATATGCATTAACATTTTTATATTTTAATTATTAATTTAATTAAGTTCATTACAACTTCAAGGGTTAAAAATTTACATATTATTTTCTTAATTATGAGTAGAGTAGCATTGAAAAACAATAGATGTATTTTAGATTCTGCAGAGCGGAGCGATGAATGTATTGACTTTATCATGATGTGTTTTTATTTTTTTTTTGTGTCTGTCATCACGTTTTGGGGCAGTAAAAGTGCTTCGATTTTCGACTTCAGTACCTCGTTTGATCAGAAGTGAATTTAGTTGGTACTTTGGGGGGTCAAAAGTAAAAAATTCTTAATATTTTTCTAAATAATCGGAATAAACAAATTAAAAATTAAAGGAGAAACGGGACATTTTATACACAATTAGTTTTCGACAAAATCGATTTTGGTTTGTGATGTAACTTTAAAACAAATGACCATATAGATACATGAAATTTTCACCGAATGTTTATGTAAGTATATTCTATCCACCATGCAATTTTCCAAAAT